GCTCCGAACCTCTCACGCAGCAACCATGTCAATTCATTCCATGAACGAATCAAGCCGCTGTTGTACATCCACTGGTACCACCCTGTTACCATGCCTTCCATGCGCAACCCTGCCATCAGTACCTTGAACTCCTCCGGAATTTGCTGAAGACCAAAAAACAATTCTGTTCGAAAAATCCAATTGTTAAGGTCCACTCCACTAAACACTGGAATCTCCAAGCGAATCGCCTTGGATATGTTTCGTCCATCCACTTGTTGATGAATTGGTGGAATGCGAACAGGAGGCTCATGATTGATTGTGTCCATGGCAAGAACAGAGTTATTGAGTTGCTGCAATTGCGAAACAATTAATTGCATCTGATTTTGATAGTCATCCAAACGGGATTCCACTCGAAAAAGTTGCGATATATTATCATCCAACCGCGTATCAACACGTTGTTCAAAAGTATTGAAATCCTCAGCAATATCCTGAACGCACATTTCATTGAACAGGTGGTGTTCAAATGAAAGCAACAGCTGTTATATTTTATCTGAATATACTCATTACTCTTGGTTTGTTTTTTCCTTCTTTGTTCTCTGTTTCTTTCTCTGTTAGGTTGAAACCAAGAGTAATGAGTATATTATGATAAAATCCCAATGTTACAATAGTCATCTATATGTATCCTAATTCCCTAACTACAAGCCACATATTAAAGCTACCAACAGAACCTTTTACATCTGTCCCATTTACATTATATCTCTTATTCCTATTACACGTGTCACCTGCACTCACTTAACTAAGTCACGTATCCCTTCAATCTCACATAAGGTTGCCTTTCTCTTGCTGAAGCCCTCCTTGTAACACTATAATTATATAATAATTGCTATCATTGAGAACCAATTTATTAGTTTTCTTATGTGAATTTATAATATAAGTAATATATTTATATTTTTTTTAATTTATGAACAGTAAATTCGGTTGAATACGGTTGAACCAATTCTCCAGTGACCCAATACATCGACCTAGTGGATGATCGGTCCAAATTTTAAAATATTTGGTTAAATCGAATATATATAACTTTATAATAAATATTAAAGTAATCATATTGTAAATAAAATACGTGATGGTTAAATAGTTGGTCTTGAAATTATATAAATGGAGTGGCGAGGTTCGGATCAACTCAGTCTGTAACTTTAGCACATATTAAAAATTGTTATCAAGCCATTAAAATTGGTTTAATAGTGAGAGGTTTGGGTAGCTTACATGAGGTCTTAGGCTCAAAACCACCATTATATCCACACACAAAATTGCATGTTATCCTTAATCTTAAATTTGAGGTAGGATATTCTTACTACTAAATATTTCTACTACCAATTTACTATCACTCGTTATTCTTGGATCTCAATTTTCAGTAGATAATTTTTGAAAAAAACTTGAAGAGAGAGAGAGAAAAATAGCTTTTAATTTATTTCTCGAAGTACGTAATTATATTATAGTGGTAATGGATTGATAATAGAAATATTTGATAGTAAAAATATCCTACATCTCTTAAAAAGTATATTACAAGATACAGAATAATCATTTTAATTCAAGACGTATCATAGCTTATAATAATTCGCGCACAAGTATATGCAGGTAAATGAACGATTAAAATTTAATAAAAAAATTGATATTTTTATACCAACACAAATTTATCATTCCTTCTCGACTTGACAAAAAAATTAAAATATTGTTGTTTTAATAAATAATTATAAAAATATAGTTGTTTTGAATTAATTTATGAATCTATTGTATCCATTCACTTTCAATTTGGGCGTGACCATTCACGCCTAAGTTAGACGTGACCTAAAAGTCATTCACACTTAAGTTAGGCATGACTTATCTGGTGTTGACACGTGGGACAAAAAAATAAACAGTTTAATAGTAAAACTTCGAAAAATCATAACTTTTGAATTGGGTGTCTGAATTAGATAAAAAAAATTATTTCATATAATTTTTCCATATCTAAGCAATGACACCTCATTTGGCATACTTTATCTTTTACATACATAGTTTAAATTTGCAACAATGGTACTATAAGATCGTTTAAACCAAAAAGCCTCTGTATTTTTACTGAACCAAAATAATTCATAAAACTCTTTATTTAATGATCTAAAATCAAAGGAAATTACACTCTAAATTTTGTTTTGACATTTTGTGAGACCATTTTTAAGAAATCAAAGTACTTCACTTTGGAGGAAATTATATATTTTTCCAGCGGCGGAGCCACAAGGCACCTGTTTGTTTTTTTTACTTATTACATATATTACATAATTAATTATAATTAATCAAGCTTCAAATTATAATTTGGAACCACCTAAATATAAAATCAAATGCTCAATATAAAGTAACAATAAATTATTTAAATGCAAACAAATAATAAAGAACGTGTACATTATGTTATTTTTGTGTTTCACCTTCTTTTATTTTTTATCTCGTATATTTTTTTTCGCTTTATTCTAATAAGTTATGTTATTTATTCTTATTCCTATTATTTTAAAAAAGAAAGACTTCTAAACTTAATCACAAAAATGATTAGTTGACCTATTTCAGAATTTGGGCTCAAATAAACCCCTTAAAAGTAGAGAAAAGGATTTGTCTTTTTAAAGAACAGAACCTTGTGTCCTTTTGGTTTTTGACACTATATCTTATTGGTAAGACATAGTTATAATATGAAAAATTACTTTTTTTTTTTCTCTTTCCTCAGTCACTTCAACTAACGTGTAGAGAGAGAAAAAATAACTTTTCATGAAAATAGTTTTTATGTTATAATTATGTCTTAGCGGTAAGACATAATGTTAAAAACTAAAAAGACATAATTTGTGTTATTTAAAAGGATACACACACTTTACCCTTGACAATAACAATCATGAAACCAAATGAATAACAGGTCTATAGTTATGGAATATGAAGGTTTATTAAACTATTGTGTTTTGGGTTATTGAAAACACAAAAAATAGTCAAAAACCTAATTCCCAAATGTGAGAACATTCCTTCGTGCAAATGGTTGTTGCAAATAAGGGCGATGTTCTCTAACGAGAGATATTGAAAATTTAAGGAATAGAAAAAATGAAAGAGAAGACAAAGGACAATGCTTATTATACATATAATTATTATGGGTTTTATTTTTCTTATGTTGCATGAGACAAGTTGTCTCATGCAACCCACAAAAAATGGGTGGGACCCACTAAAAAGGAAGAAAGAGAAAATAAAGAAGCGAGTCCCACTCATTTTTTGTGTGTTGCATGAGACAACTTGTCTCATGCAACATAAGAAAAATAAAACCCAATTATTATATTTGATTGTTTTCATATTTTTAGGACAATGTTTGGTTCATTACTTATTATGTTGTAGGAAGAAAGTGAAATTCTTATGTTTGAAATGCTTACCGAAAAGATTAGTGTATTTTTATATTTTTTATTTGATATATAATCAATGATAATTGTTCATTTGAATTTTCAATGTTATGTGATATTATTTAGTACATAATTTAGATCATTATGCTACAATTCATATTAAAAAAGGCTTTACTGATAAATATTTTAATAATTTAATATGTCAAATTTTATGGCACCACCTAAATTATTGGACTGGCTCCGCCACTGTATTTTTCTGTTGTGCAATCAATATGTCAAGTTAAACCTGGGATCAGAAATTTTACCTTTTGTCATGTGTTTTAGATATAGATTGACCCAAAAATAAGTCCTTATGCAAATGTGATACGTGAATTAATACAAGCCCAACAATAAGTCATCAAAGCAAATGCATTAAACTTAATTACCTTTCCAAAAAATCACATGTGAATATCTTTAGGAAAAAAAACTAGAAAAAGAAATACTAAAATAGTTTTCACATTGTTATTAAAAGTTACGCCAGACTAGTCAATTCATCTAAGAAATACATATATCAACAACTACTAAATCACACAGTTATATATGTTTGTAATAATACATTAAAAATTTTGTATTTTTTAATGCAACTTAAAGAACATAGGATTCATGTATATATAAAAAAAAAATAGAATTTTCACCAATCTTTCTCACATATTATATTCTCACCAATCTCTTATACACTTTTATATTGTGGCATTTTTTTTCTCACTATTTCAAAACACAAATTTTAATTTGATCAAACTCACGCATTTTGCGCTAAAAGCAATGTCAAAGAAGGTGTCCAGTTAATCATATCACACATAAACGTTCCACGTGTTTTTCAGCCCCTACAACCAAAAGCAATCCCACACGACCATGGCTTTCCCATGAATCCATGATCAACACTTCACTCACATCACATGGGCCTGTTTCCTTAATATCAACGCTTCTGATTTCCCTACCAAAACGCATCCTAGCCGTCCCACTGAATCCAAACCAGACCAAGGGTGGGTGAGTGGGCCCCACCGGCCCACCCTTGTCCTCCAAATAGTGAGACAAGTTGCTTTAAAGCTGCTAGTGCTGCTACCGACAGCTATGTTTGCCTTTGTCCATAATTTATGCATTAAATTTGAAACAATACCAATGCGAAAGTAAGTGCATTAAATTTAGGGTTTATTATTTATTATGTTGCTGTAAATGATAAATTTATTTTTTATATACTTATAAAAATATATAAGATTTATATTCTCTTTTTTTTTCACATAAAATTATATAGATTTTACGTATATTTTTATAAAGAGGTAGGATCTTTGATATCGGTATCAAATTTGAACTTTGACACCTTATTTGAAAGTTATTAGATCAAAAAAGATTAATGACTTTAATTTGTAAGCATGTGACACCATTGATTTTTTTGATCTAATGACTTTTAAATGAGGTGTCAAATTTCAAATTTGACATTTATATCAAATGATTAGGTCTCTTTTATAAATATAGGAGATAAAATTTATCTAGTGTATTAAGAGAATCATTCCTCCCTTAAATTTATTATTCACTTCCCTATAAAATACAATCTTGCATTTCCAACTTTACCACAATTGCATCATAATACTAGTGGCAAAGAACTCTGAACCTTGATCATTATATTGTGTAATAGACAAGTTGAAACACAGGGCTTGGAATACAGATATTTGGGTTTTTGATTGTTTTGGCTTAGATTACTTGTGGGAAGATGGAAAACGCAGTGACATATGAGCATGATCTCAACCTCAAGGCAACCGAGCTTAGATTGGGGTTGCCAGGGACAGAGGAAAAGGAAGAGAAAAAAACCATTTCTGGTGTCAAAAGCAACAAAAGGCAATTGCCCGAAACATCTGAAGAGTCTGTTTCCATTTCCAAGGCCTCAAATAGCCAACAAGTGAAGAATGATGCTGCCCCTCCTGCCAAGTAAGTTTATATATGATTAAAGACTAAAGGTTTCAGTCATGTGGTTGATCAAATAATATCCAAGAATAACCCACTTTTTTTTCATATATATATATATATATATATATATATATTTTGGATCTGAATTCTGAGCTAATTCATTCAATTTATTGACATACCAGAGAAAAGATAGTGGGGTGGCCACCAATCAGATCATATAGGAAAAACAGCCTGCAGGAAGCTCAGGGTGCTGGGATCTACGTGAAAGTGAGCATGGATGGAGCTCCTTACCTCAGAAAGATTGACTTGAAGATCTATGGTGGCTATCCAGAACTCCTCAAGGCTCTAGAAACCATGTTCAAGTTGACCATAGGTGAGAATAAATTTTGCTTTTGGCTACATCTATTATTTAAAGAGGGTGACACTCAACCAGTGGTAATCAAATCCAAGAAATTGTCTCTTTAAAAATATGTAAGGGTCTAAGAATTGTCCATATTCCTAGCTTTGTTAGTTGGGGTTTAATAGCTAGTGTTTACGGCCTACAATTTATTGTCTTTATTGTGGTGAAACTAGTTAGTTATTCAAATTTTTAGGATGAAAAATAACTTGGGTTTTGTTATATCAGGTGAGTACTCTGAAAGAGAGGGTTATAAGGGATCTGAATATGCACCTACATATGAAGACAAGGACGGTGACTGGATGCTAGTTGGAGATGTTCCATGGGAGTAAGTTCTTTCTCTTTGTTTTTGTTCATGTCTCTGGTTTGTCTCTTAGCTATACATATTCTCAACCTTACAGAACTTGCTTTTTCTCTGCAGCATGTTTACGACTTCCTGCAAAAGGCTAAGAATCATGAAAGGTTCAGAGGCTAGAGGTTTGGGCTGTGGTGTATGAGAAACAACTAAATTACTATGACAATGATGAGCACTATGCATGATTGAGAGTTTTGCTTTCAAGAAAAATCAGCTTGGGTTCTTGGAACAATTGGATTTTGAATACTGTATCCGACCACCATCCCTATGTGGAGTTGGATTCTGAAGTAACAAGATGGAAGATTATTTCTACAAGTTTGTCAACATTTCTGGTTTTTTGAGATCTGTGATGGGGTGCTATTGCTATTTTTTCCATTGAACATTTTCTATGAGAATGGAAATTTGCTTCAAATGAGCTTTGTGTACAAGAGAGTTAGATGGGATTGATATGTTCGTCAAAGTTTTTTTGTTTTTGTATCAATACAAAAATACAGTGTAATACACCAAATATTTGTATCTATTATGTTGTCTGTAATTGAATGGACACAAAACTAACTGTGCCACATCCGGAATTTCTTCCTCTTTCTACTTGCATCTAAACTCTGTTTTCATAATCCATTTACGTCTCTTTATTATTTCGAAAAAAAAAAAAATTGGATGAAGGGTGAGTGGGCTTATGACCAAGGAAAGTCACAAGGTTGAAGCTGATCTGATCCGTCACAGAATTCATGTTATGGTATTGTTATGAATATATGGTTATTGGTTCTAGAACGGGTTTGTTAACATTAAATATGGCACTAGGCGTAGTTACAATCACAGTAATTGAATTAAAGTACAGATAAACTTCTTCTTTTTTATTTATAAACATTTCTGCTCTAAATAAAATTACAATCTTTTTTATTTATAAACATTTATGCTCTAAATAAAATTACATTAAGTATTCCACTCATAGTTTAAGTTGTAATTTTATTTAGAGCAGAAATGTTTATAAATAAAAAGAAAAAATTTATCTGTATTTTAATCTAATTGTTGTGATTGTAACTATGTCTAGTGCCATACGTAATGTTAACAAATCGATTCTAGAACGGGGTGTTACAGTTATCAAAATTTGTTATCTTAATGTCCTTTATTTTAGTACAATATGAGTCTTATTTTTGCCAACCCCACTTACACATATCATGGTATTGAGTTGTAAGCCAAATCCGTGTTGAGAATGTTATGGGGAGTCCAAATGATAAATGAATTTATATCACGTCTTAATCCAAAATCATAAGGTTATAGACCAATCTTAAGGTTATAATTCTGTGTCTTTGTGCACTTATATGATCTTTACTTTATTTATTTCTAACCGAGATGAGATTTCATCACTGCCTACACTTTATTTCCAACATGACCAAAAACTGTTATGCAAAAGAAATTTCGTTAGTCAATATATTATACATTACGCATGATATAGTGAGGTTAGAAAATAAAACGGTTGGTTGTTGGCAAAGTAATCTTCAGAGTTGATCTAGTATTGGATCAAGAAACTAATTAAAAAAATCATGAGCAAACAATCCAGAAGCTAGGATATGCCCTTAAAATTAAAAAACCAGTATTTAATCCAGAATATTTTTAAATAGCTTTTCTGAAGTTGTTATTGTATAGACATGAAGCGGTGAGGTTAGGGAAGTAAATGATGATTGGGAAGTATAAGCAACTTTTCGGTTTTTCCCACGGGAATCTTTATAGCAGTAATAAAAAATTTGACTTGGTAGATAATGAAAGATCATGAACAAGCATGGCAAACAATGCAGAAGACAGGATCTACTCTAGATCTTGTTTGTATTGAAATAATGAAAAGCTCTGCGAGACAATTATTCATATCTATAGAAAAACTTCATAGATCAAAAAGCAAAAGTGTCATGTATTTTTGCAGAGTAAAGGGATGAAGTTTCCAAGGTAATTCATGTGCATAGGAAAGTGCATGCATCACAATTTAAACTCAAATCAGAATTTCACCTACTTTTTGTGTCATGTAATATCAAAAAAAAAAAAAGAGTAAACGGGACTCACTAAAGAGAAAAAAGATAAAGAAAAAATAAATAAATTTCACTACTTTTTATATGTACATGAAACAAAATTGTCTCACTTAATATGAGAAACATATTTTTCATTAAAATATAATCTTAAAATGAGCTTCATTTTTTGTTTTATTAGTTGCTTGACAGGCACTGTCCGGGTTATTGTTAAGAAGTTAAAATTAGGCATAAAGCTTGTTAGTTTCTAAATAAGGATCGAGAATCTTATATTTACAAATTTTTTATTTATAAATTTTTATAAACTACACTATATCTTATCGGTAAGATATTTTTGAGTAAAATCTTATCAGTAAATCATAATATAATATGAAAGTTAGTAAAAAAAAAAATTATCAATATAATTATATAACCCTCCTCTCTAAATAATATTAACTGCACAACTGTAACATTAAAAAAAAAATGACTTTTTTCACAACGTTATTTTTTTTGGTAAACTTTTTCAAAACGTTATTTGATATCTGTTTATCTACGCCTATTTATTCCAGGAAAACAAAATGGGTTTTATGTTTATTCTTTTAAATGATATAAAGTTGTGCCATTTTAAATGAAAGAAACACATAAACATTGAAAATCATGGGAGAAGAAAATGAATATTTTTTTAATTTAAATTTTAAATAAAAAATATTAGTTTATGCCTTTCTCTCACTTAAAATAACACAATTCTATGTCTTTTAAAAGAATAAATATTTTTCCCAAAATAAAAAGACAAAAAATGCGTATTAGAAACGGGATTACTTCTTCGTGGTGCAAGCAAAAGATAATTTTATCTGTGCATACGCATGAAAGTGGTTATGACCTTGTAAAGAGAACAGAGAAAAAATAAAATAAGGTTCATCTAATTTTTATAAATGTTTAGGAGAATTATTAAACTCGTTAAAAAATAGTTCTTTATTATATTAAAGAGAAAGTTATACAAAATAATGTAATATATATATGGGGAAGGATCCGTTTATAAACTTTTTTGAATTTCTTTTACAAATTACACTATGTTCTCTTGAGAGAACATAGTTTAACTAGTATTCTCCCGGGAGAACATAGTGTAGTTTGTAAACAAAAAAGTTTGTAAATATAACTTGCCCATGTATATAGGAAAAAATATTTCTCAAGCAGCTTGAGATAAGTTTATCTCCGGCCACCCTAAAACTACGTCGTTTTATTTATTTATTTTCTTATATTAATTGATTTACCTTTGAATGGTTACGATTTCGTTTTTCTCTCTCTTCTTTATCACCATTGATCCATCTTTGTATGGTTATGATTTAGTAGCCGGAGATAAAATTATCTCAAGCAGCTTGAGAAATAATAAGCCCTATATATATATATATATATATATATATATATATATGAGGTAGGATCCTTTGACACCGGTGTAAAATTTGAAGTTTGACACCTAATCTAAGAGCTGTTAGATCAAAAAAGATCAACGACTCTGATTTGTAAGCATGTGACATCATTGATCTTTTTTATCTAACGGCTCTTAGATGATGTGTCAAACTTCAAATTTGACACCGGTGTCAAAGGATCTTGGCTATATATATATATATATATATATATATATATATATATATATATATATATAAATGGGTTTAATGTCTCTTATGTTGTATGTGATAAAATTATCCTCTACACACACATAAAAGTATGTGGAGCTCATATTTTTTTTTTATCTCTCTTCTCTTCACATGGTCCCACATGGATCCACACACTTTTATGTGTGTATAAGAGATAATTTTATCTCTTACAACATGAGAGACATTAAACCCATATATATATATATATATATATAGGGAGGGATCTTTTGATTCTGGCATAAGACTTAGAAATCTTACTTCTCGTCTCAGTAGTTGATTTCTGTCTATTTAATGGTTGTTATTTATTTGAAAAAATAATAAATTAATTAATATAACTCAATAAATTAAAATCGTTCGATAGACAGAAATTAACAGTCAGGTCAAGGAGTAAGACTTCTAAATCTTATACCAGAGTCAAAAGAACTCTCCCTTATATATATATATATGTGTGTGTGTGTGTGTGTGTGTGTAAAAATAATTCTCATGTTATAAGAGAAGTCTTTCTCCTACTAGTGATACATCGAAATGTGTACAACAACTTTTTTGTTTTTATTTTTTAATGGGAGGTGAGACCCATCACATCTTGTGTCTATAGTAGTAGAAAGAATTCTCCTACAACATGAGAAAAAAGAGACCCATATATATATATATATATATATATATATATATATATATATATATATATATATATGTATATGAGGTATGATCATTTGACACCGGTGTCAAATTTCAATTTTGACACCTCATCTCAGAGCCGTTAGATTAAAAAAGATTAATGGTGTCACATACTTGCAAATCAGAGTCATTGATTTTTTTTTTTATCTAACGGTTCTGAGATGAGATGTCAAAATTGAAATTTGACATCGGTGTCAAAGGATCCTACCTATATATATATATATATATATATATATATATATATATATATATATATATATAAACTACTCTCACGCTACCTGTGATAAATTTTTTCTTCTACACATCATTCGATAACTGTGCCACATTTTTTTCTTTTTATTTTTCAGGTGGTGAAGCTCACAAGTTTGTCTATATGACATGAGATAACTTATCTCCTTTAACATGAGATTAATAAAATCCATATATATGTGTGTGTTTTAAATCAACATTTTCCAATGTTCATTGACTTTTCCGACAATGATTGTCTTTCTTAGCTGTGGATCCTTCATCTCCAAGTTGTGATCATTCGCCAAAGAAAAATTGCAACATTCATTTGATGAGAAAACTTTACTTCTAATTTCCGTACTTGTAAAAGTAAGTTTACAATTGTATATAATTTTTTTTTAAAATATTAGTATATATTTAAAAAATCAGACCGAATATGAGTTTTTTTTTTTTTTTTAGTAAAGACCATTTTTGATCCTTCATCCCCACTTGAGTTCTTTATAAAAATAAATTAGTCAGTTAGTCCCTAAAAAATTTAAGGTGAACCCATTTTAGTTTTTTTGAGAGACTAATATGGGTCTTTTTTGAATTTTTGGTAAGAGACTAAAATGGGTCTTTTTTGAATTTTTGAGGGACCACGATTTCAACTAAATGGGTTCACTTTGAATTTGTTAGGGACTAACTGACTAATTTATTTTTGTAAGGGACTAAAGTGGAGAACGTGTTTTTTGTTAGAGACTAAAAATGGTATTTACTTTTTTTTTTTACTAAATATGAATCAACAAATCAGACCGAATAACTTGCAGTACTGATTTAATAAATTATCAGCCTGAGTTGTACATACTTGACCCATTAGGTATTGATTGTATTCGGCCCAGCTGGCAATGGGTCCGTCCTATCTAGACTGGTCGACCCTAAATATTCTACATATAATTACAAAATTTAGAAATTTTAATTTTATAGTATAAGAATACTTTATAGAAAAATTATTTAAATATATGAAGAATTATAAAAAAAACATAACGAA